CAGTCGAGTCACTGGATATCGAACAGCTTATTGATCTTTGTCAAGTTCAAGGACGAACAACACACATCAGTTAATTGTCTGTCATGAACTTGGCCATGCAGAAGTGGTCGTGTAGTGAACGAGAACACAGGTGGGGACAATCAATATGTGGTAATACAAAATTACTGAGTGTCTCCGTAAAATATAAGAACCATACATTGAACACTTCATTTAAGAATTTCCGTCATATGTCCTTCACATTTTGTGTGATTCTTCCTATTCTCAGTTCCCTTCTCTTTTCCATTCTTCTTCCTTCAACTTAATCTTCTTAGCCTTCTGCTGTCACGGTTTCCACTTCCGATTGGTGTTGCATACCACTTATGTCGACAGAAATAAATAGCATATACCACGGTCACACTCTGTTCTTTGTACTCGTTCTTACTAATATATTTTTGGAGTAACGTCGTTTACGTTGTACGGTTATCCAAGCAGCCATCGAGCCTGGATATGACGAAGGGTTCCCGATCATTCGACACAAGTCGTCTACGTTAACGATCTACAGATTTATTTTAGTTATCAGTAAAAAGCCTATGGATGTAAATGCGCTTCGAAATAATCAACTTTGAACATTAAGTTTCCTTCTTCTGGGGTTTCCTCTTTTTATATTTTTAGAGTGCCACAGAATGGAGATAGTAATCATGTTCTCCGTTAATTATTACTTAGATGGCTTCCGATAATATGTGAATCAGATCACTGTATCAGGAGAGTAGTGTCAATTTGAGCCAACAGTATTGTGATGCATAGCTTTTAAATCACTAAGATGTTTCGTGGTTGACACATCAACATTCATTATCAAACCTTGGAATAGGTCTCTGCAACTTATTCTTTAGTTTATACGAACAGTAAAACCATTGAGTTGGCGAGGGGTTCAGAGTGTTTTATGAATATGCTTGATTCACAGCTACTCACGAAGTAATAAGCTACATTAGGTCTTTATATTGTTATTATTAATGAAAAGCATTGTTACCTTTAACGAATATTCACTTTTTTCGACTTCAACCAGGTCAAGCGCAAACCGGTAGGCGAGACGAACTATCAGAATTAACCGATGAATGATTGCTGCAAATCCAATTTCAGAAAGAATAAACAGACTCCAGTGGTTCCGAAACTCCCGCTACACTGGCAAAATATCTGAAGTATTTTCTCATTGTTACTCAAAATATTCGTTAGACTTATATTGGAACAATCAAACAAGTTTCTCTGGTTCGCATACTCCAGAAATAAGAAATCAAAAAAGGATGAATATTGTAGGTCTATAGCTATATTGTCTAGACGTTTAAAATAGTGGGGATTGTGTACGAACTATGGGGCTTAAAGTTCGTGATCTCGGGTGAAAAACGAATGATAGACAAACTTTCCGCTGGTCTTTTTCTTATTAGTTACAGACTACAAGTCAGAAGAGGGATGTTACATATCGAACAGAGGAATGCCCAGTCCATTTTCTATGGTAGATGGATCATTAGTAGGATCACTGAGAAAAAATACAATGTGTCTTTCAACATCCTGCTACCAATATCTTGTATTTCATACAACGTGGCAGAAGATAACTTACAGTTGTTTGGTTGAGCATATTTTTTAGAAGTTCCTTAGTAAGAACTTTCTACTTCTAAATCTTCGAAACATCACTGATAGGGTACTCTCTTAGTCGTGGATGAAGTCAAATGTTCCGTAAATGAGGCAGTGAGGACTTTTGATTGTCATGGTCAGCTGATTTGACAAAATGTAGCATATCTGAACAGCATGTAGTTTTCCTGTAACCAATGGCTTTTAAAACACTATGACCGAGGGTGTGAGAGTAGAAAGGTTTCTGTTGTTTAATATATCTATTAAGTACCATTATCGGTGACAAAAATTCTATGAAGCTTCTGCAATGTTACCTTCAACCCGAAATATGTGCCGATAGATTGTGTTAGTTGTTTGTGTCTGGACAACCGTCACTCTTGTTACTCTTGTGAAACTGAAACAATTGGCGGTAAGTGCAGATCTCGTCGTTACTTGTTTTAGGCATGGTCGAAAAGTCATGTCATTGATTCTCGCTTATGTGTTACATGTTGTCGCGGATTTCTAACGTCGTTTTTTGTCGGCTAATCACAGTATTTTTCCGTCACATGTTAATTTTTGTAATATTTATGCGTTTTACATGGCGTTTATTGCAGTCTATTGGTTGCCTGACGTATTTGGAGCTGACAACCTGGATGAATGTTTAGTCAGCCTAACTTGGTAATTTGTAACAACGCAAACTCAGGCAAGCGAAATTCATCGTTTATCAAGTCAAAAATACACCAAAATTACAGTTTCAAGCAAAAACAAGCTGTAGAATAATTTACATATGACTTACCTCCCTTATTATGGTAGTGACCCAAACAACCAATAAAGTGGAAATAAAAGCGAAAAAAGTGGGAATAAAGCGGACGAAAGCGTAAATAAAGGGGAAATGTCGCTTTTTCGCCTGCACGTGAGGGACAGATTTGTAAGCACACAACATGATTTTTATCCTTCATTCCTATTACAGATGGCCATGTTGACGCGTTTAATGAATGATGATCCTAAAACCTCCATGCGATATCTTCTGTCCTACATCATGGAACCTGAAGTCGCCATTAATTTCACGTTACTTGGTACTTCATCAAAACGAGCGATTCAGAAGTGCCGGTTTTATGGCTGCGTACGAAGTAAAATAAATAAGGTTTTTAAACTTCAGGTGCACTTACTAATCGATCCCTGTCGTCATCTGTCACTGAGAAAGACCTTGTGAAACTATATGACATGGCTACACAAAGTTATTTTCACGACATAAGAGACAAAGTACAGAAGAGTCATCGACGGAAGAAAGAACACGTACGTACGACTTTAAAGTGATTATTGTTTTCCCGTTATCTATAGGTAGAGTCTTCCGTGTTTAAGAATATAACCGTAAGTTCAGCTTCAAGTACCTTGTTGTGCAAAACAAGTTTCCTAGATATAGTAACGTTCTTCTTCATTACATTTTAGAATTCACAAGAATTATTTGAGTCTCCATAGTTCAAAAGGCCTGATGGAAAGAAACAATACGTGAAATATCTGGTCCGTGACAATTGCAATTACATCAGGAACATTGATGCTCTACCATCTGCCAAGTGCTCATGACGTTGTACAATAATAAGCTTTTTGTTTTCAATAAAAATTTGGAACTTATACCATATATTACGTACATTACATTATTCGTGTGCTGTGTTGTGGGAATGAAGGTGAACACAGGAGGCGGTTGGGGTAAATACAGAAGCGTTTTAAAAGTGGGCGCTTAATTACATCGGTGTGCATGTAGTAGAAAAGTAGACAATTCGTCGGATATTTAGGGTGCGAATCGGAAATTCGTCGAATATTTAAGGTAAAAGTCGGCAATTTAGCGACATTTGAAAAACAGAGCGACAGAAAGGGGAAATTTCACTTTATTTCCCCTTTATTGGTTGTATGGGGATGAACGTGGGTGTTAGTAGTTGTTTATAAATTGTAATTGAGAGTCAAACTATTCATGAATCTTGTAATGGTAATAATAATCATTCCATGCGACGTTCCTAATGGAAGTTTGTTTTTCTATAGCAGGGCAACAAAGAGTAAACGCACTGGAAATAGAGGAAGAAGCCCTACGCGATCTGAACGAGCAGAACAATGAATAAAACTATTCTGTAGAAAGTTTCCCCTTTTGCACTCAACCGTGTCTTTCAATTTTAAAAATATATGTTGTACCAGTACATTGTGTTCTTACTTTGACGGCACTTACCGGTCCTCACTGTAGTGTTGTTGTTTCAGATCGCTCCTGCTTCAAAGTGGACGTCAATATATAACGTGCTACATTACGATATGAACTATTAATATACAGCCGTAAACAGTTTAATCCATGATAAGTATCATCGTTGTTAACTGGACTGATATGTTATTACGTAATGTGAGAAAAAAAATATGTTAGTAACAATTGGTGTTGATAGATTTTTCTGTCCGCTTTCTGAATTTATACAGAAATTGTGTAGAACATTACTGTAAGTGCCACATAAATTAGCCAAATACTCTTCTTAAGTAAAGCGATGCGTGTTTGTTCTGAGCATGGTAACTAAAACATGTAGATAATACTATTTTACGATGTCTCGTATAGGGTTAAAATATAAATTTCTGCTAACGGAATCCGAAATCACTGACTAAATCATAAACAAAGTGTTAATGCATGTTGACGGGTAATCGCTAAATAGTGGTTACCAGTTATTTCATTATTGTATGTAAACAGTATTATGAACGGTGTAATTGGATTTTTCTCAAATTTCATATAACTAATTAAAGTTTGTGAGTCCGTTTGTTTGTTAATACCGAATAACTAGATGAAATTGTAGGAAGGTTAGAAAATGAAGAGCACTGTTTACAGCAAGTAAAACACTTACAGGTACATCCTATCAATTGCTATTTCATTTACTTATGGAACTTGATACTGATAACGAAGTTTAATCTTTTCTTTCACGATTGATTTGTTGTTTTTCAGAATTGCATTGAGCAAGCTATCCATACATTTTGTTATACAACTTATGACTTCTGTCAACTAATTGAAAGGCTCAAATCTTTGTAATAATCAAGTCTATGCAGGTGAACAACTTGGCGAATTTCTTAATATGGAAGTTTATGCGGAGAAACAATTCACACATTGACGATAACTGTGTTTTGTATTGACCACTACCGCGTTTATTCATCTAATACGTTATCTAAATACAATATAAATATAACAACTGTAGTTTTTCGCACTTTAAATCTTTACAGTATGTGTATAGTCTAGTTAGGTACTAATACTACTTTCATCATAGACGTTGTCCGATAACGGTAAATTTATCGTTTGATTGCCTAGTCTGTAAGATCTTACGTGAAAATCGCATCACTATCTACACTGACCCATCGTATCGCGACAAATAACAATACTTAGTACTTCTGAAGAACACATTTATGCTTGGGATAGAATAATATATTTAATGTGAATATAAATAAGTTAAACATAATGAGCGCGTCTGCAACACTGACTCATGCCATTCGATTGAATGAATATCTCCACGTTTACCACTTCCGACCTTCTCCAAGTGTTACATCCTTTTAGTTATTATATGCTTGATTCCGGAGACCATGTGATTAGGAAACAATGCCACTCCAATTATTCATCCGAATATACTGATCGTAAATAGGACTGCAGGAAGAGAAATGTTTGAGAAATGGCAGTCTTACCTAATTATTGATTTTTAAGTGATAATTGTCTACTTTTTTCTCCACCACCATGGCGAAGTGTTCACCATATTTTTCAACTATCTGTTGTTTATGAACTTTCTGGCTTCTTTGGATTCGTATATACTCTTCACTCCGTCTGGGTAATGATGTTGTATTATAATGGAAGTTATGCGTGCTATTTAACTTCCATCGGCTGCATGGTCTAAGTATGTGATGAGCTAATTAGTTTATTTCGTAGTTGATTAAGCTTACCTGTAAGAGTTGGTCTTTTTACATATGTCAGTATTATATGACGTCAGGGATATCGACAAGCCATAAATGTTCGACAATTACACTCGCAAGTGCCTGCATCTAGTTCATAACACCACAAAACTGTATTTAAATCGCACGTCCTTTAGCAGTTTACTTTCGCCGTGAATGTTATGTGTACGGGTGGTCTGAAAAGGGATGGAATTATGCATCCATACTTTTTGGAACTCCTTAAACACACCATGGAATTCAATCCAGTTTCCAAAACGCCTGCTCAGTATTATGCGTTGAAACGCCTCACTTAAGTCGACCGAAATGTCTCTGGAACATAAATTACCACAAACATTACTCGTTAATTACTGAAAGAGCAGCCATTTCATGCGATAATACTCCAGTATCTGAAGAAAGGACTACAAGCATTTAGGAATTACGGGTTACTCGTCATGTCGTCTTAATTCTTGCAGAAAACAAGGATTCACACAAATTCATAGTATCTTTAACTGATAATTTATAATGAATACGCAGTTTTGCGGACCCCAACGAATTTTAAACAAGGAGAGTGAGGTTCAGTAGGGTAATTGGTATCCCAGGTCAAGTTACGTAGCAACAAAAGAGCCAAATTGTACACTACAAAACACAGTAAGCACAATAAACGCTTTTGGCATTGATTTTGTGAATTTGCTACAGACAAAAAAGACGCGAATACAAGAAAACCTGATATTCGTGCAACCCAGAGGACAACCAACCGACCCACAACAAATCAAATACGGAATGACCGCCTCGTGTCAGGCCGTTCAAGGTCGCAAAAAGGAAACGGCGGGCAGGTTTGAAAACGCACTGACTTATTTACCTTGCCCTTGTTTTATCTGTTGGTCGTATTTTACTGCTCACTTTTAAGGAACTCCGGTCAACTGTTGCATAAACATAGAGAACTACTAACCTGGCTAAGTATTTGATGATAGTAACAAAAGGATTTACACCTTTATAAGTGAAAACAATTATTTGTCATGACCAATGTTATATTGTTACCCACTTAAGTGTCTTTTGGAAGTTAGGGGATAGCTGTTCTACCATTGTTTAAAATTTTAAGGTGGTTAGAAAAGCCTTTCCCACCTTTCCGTTGTGATTTTTGGAGAGGAAACAGTTTTTGTTTTCACCGTTTTTCTTGGGGAATGATGTCTTCATTCTCCACTCTTTGTCTGCTTTGAATGTAGCACGAATTTCATAGTTTGTGTTATTGTCTCGGTTGATCCTATTATTTTTAAGTCACGTTTTCTGCATTATGCCTGCAGTCGGGCATGAAAGTCGTAAAATTACAGTTTGTTTCAATATTCGCTCTTGAGCTTTGTTACTCAGTGCTTGTACATTAATTCGGTCATAATGTAATCACTAAAACCTAATGTTCGGCTCAAAATAGATAGACCCCCAGGTATAACTTTTCTACAGGCTTTTAATATGGGGGTGGCTTATTGGAAAATATTTACCAATGTCCGTGTTTCTCACTATTTCTTACTTGGTTATGAAAGAAATATACCTTTTTTAACGTACAGGTGAAGTGCAGTCAGTTTAGCGGACCAAAGCATTCATGGCTGTTTCTGTGCCTTGCTTGAAAGTAACAGTAAATGTTGATGGATGTGATGCACCGGCTGAACAAAAAGACCAAACATTGACACCAATTCATTGTTCATGTCAGGTAAGATACAAGTGTACTGCTTTTTTTTCTTTAATTGCAAGAAATTCATTTCTTCCTGTGGTTATCACACTTTGTTTTATGCTGAACTAAAAAATATGTTAAGATAATTATTCCATTAACAAGGAATATCCTATCATTCAAACCACTAATATCGCTCTTATGTCGCCTATTTTAAGGGAAATCTACAGGATATCTTCTGACATATGCCTTTATTTACAGCTTCAAGTTTATATCATGGTGCGTTTCACTGAAAACAAGTTTGTGTATTTACCGTTAATCTCATTAGTGAAGGCTAGTTCAACAGCCCAACCTCCCAAATAAAGTTGATGTCAGATATATATATATATATGTATATATATATATGCGTAGATTTTATTTATTTAAACACATATATATTGGTACAAAAGGGCACCAGATACATATGCGCCACACAAAATAATGAAAGTAGGAAGAGAAAAGATGAAAAGATAAGGCGGACTGAAATGTACAACCAGAAGACTCTTTCAGTTAGGAAAGTTAGAACCATTCTTTATGTAGAAGGTAAAAGAAGGTTGCAGCAGGATCGCCACTGGCTTTTATTCTGAGCCATATCCGATAACGTCTCTAGCCACTGTGTTGCACCATCTCTCGGACCCCAACCAGGGAGTCGTGAAGTACCAACAGAAGCTAGCCCTTTGCAGCTTTCTTTCATGCCACGACACCATGTCATACACTGACCTCCTCTCCGCTTTTTCCAACCAGTCCAAGGGTCGGCAAATAATGCACGACGTGGAAGTCTCTGGGACGACATTCGTAAAACATGTCCAAGCCACCGAAGTCGGTGTTTCAAGATGGTGACACCAATTGGATTATCGTCTCTGCGCCCGAACACACGATGCCGAACCTCTGCATTACTAACATGGTGTTGCCACTGTATGTCAGCAATCCTTCGGAGACAACGATGATCGAACACAGAGAGACGTCTGACATCCTCAACTCGAAGAGGCCAGGTTTCACAAGCATAGAGCAAAACTGCTCTCACCGACGCGTTGTAGATCCGACCTTTTACAGCCAGACTAACATCACGAAGGCGCCAAAGATGACCCAGATTGGCATAAACCGCTCTGGCTTTCATTATACGTGCATCAATCTCATCACTCACGCCACCACCAGCACTTATATAGCTACCTAGATACACGAACTTCCCAACTACTTCAATCTGCTCACCATCCAGGGTGTGTACAGGATGAGAATCCTGCCAGTCTTGTAGGAGTACTTTGCACTTGGAGGGTGCAAAGCACATGCCGTACCTGCGGACACTGATTGCCAACTGATTAAGTGCTGATTGCATGCCTTGGGCATTATCGCACAGTAAGACAATATCATCCGCATACTCAAGGTCGAGAAGTCGTTCTCCAGGCAACATATCCACACCGCCATTACTTACATCCACCAGAGCTGTTTCCAGGATGTCGTCGATGGCACGGCTGAAGAGGAATGGTGAGATCGGGCAACCCTGCCTAACGCCACTGCTCGAATGGAACAAGGGAGAAAGGTGGTTGTATGCCCTCACTCTGCCTGAGGTGTTCGTATACAGGGCCTTTAAGATGTTAATGAACTTCTCAGGCACACCCTTCTTCAATAGACAATCCCAGAGAACAGTCCTATCCAACGAATCGAAGGCCGCCCTGATATCAAGAAACACTACGATTGTTGGCCTGCGATAAGTATGACGGTGTTCTAACATTTGGCGGAGGGTGAATATGTGATCAATGCATCCTCGACCAGAACGAAAACCAGCCTGCTCCTCGCGAGTCAATCGTTCTCGGGTTTTAAACAACCTACGAAGAATGATAGAAGCCAATAGTTTGGACGCAATCGGAAGTAGACTTATCCCCCGATAGTTATTGCAGGAACAACGTGAACCCTTTTTAAAGATAGGGACGACTATTGACTCATTCCAAGATGTTGGAACATTTTCTTGCTCCCAAACCTTTCCAAACAACACAGTCAATTCCTTAGTCAGGAAGTCACCACCATCTTTAAAATGCCGGAAGTAAGTCATCTGGGCCCGGTGATTTGTAACGTTTCAAGAGTTGGAGTTCCTTGCGGACTTCCGCCTCGTTTGGTGGATCAGTCGTCACCGGCCATGGGGGGCAGGACAAGCTGGTTGATGTTGCCGGAGCAGCGGGCCAGTTGAACTGCCCTTCGAAAAATTCCGCCCATCGTCCAAGACGTCGACAGATGTTAGTGATTGGCATCCCGTCATCCTCGTAGATTGTTTCACTCACACCAGACTTCTTGCTGCCAGTGGCTTGGATGAGTTGGAAGAGCTTCCGGCAGTTGCCAGATGCAGCTGCTGCTTCCATCTCATTAGCACGCTTCGACCACCAGGCTTCCCGGTCCTTACGCAAGCTTTGCCCGATTTCATTACGTAACAGCCTTCGTTTGTGGTCAAACTCACGGTCACCCGGAGTAGACCGACGGGCTTCGATCAGTTGTAAGGAGCCAGAAGAAACCCAGTGCTTGTAAGCGGGACGTTTCGCGAAGCCGCAAGCGGCTTTACTCGCCATTTTCATGGCGTCGTGAAGATGCAACCAATGCTCATCTATACTTTTCGGTGGGATGGTAGCTAGCCTAGAGGCTAGCTCCGCTCGATACTTACTTGCAACAGAAGTTGCAGCCAGTTTACTAATATCAATCCGTTGGTGGTGGTCAATCCTTCGGCCACTGAAAAGTAAGGTGAGATTGGCGCAGACCAGGGCATGATCAGACTCCAGATAGGTACTCCAAAAGGAGCGGCAGTCTTGTACACAACCACGCCAGCGGTAGCTGACCGCGATGTGGTCAATCTGAGTCCAGGCTTGGTATGCAGAGGGAGGACGCCAGGAGGCACACCGGCGATGACTGTGCCGGAAGTTAGTGCTGGCCAGAAACAGGTTGTGGTCTGTGCACAGTTGCAGCAAACGGTCCCCGTTATCTGTCCTGCGACCAACAAGTCCCCATCGGCCACCTAGACGACTCTCTTCTGTGCCTAGACGCCCGACCTATGCATTCAAGTCTCCAGCTAGTACTACAATATCTGTCGAACGCGCTTTCTGGAGAAGAACTGTTAACTGATGGTAAAACTCATCCTTGATTGCATCCGGGCTGCAATCTGTCGGGGCATAGGCGGAGATGACGAAAAGACACCGTTTCTCACGCCGATTTCTTCTCACTTTGATGGAACTTTCTAATCTGACAGCACATAACCGACTGTTAATGGGGATCCAATCGATTAGTGCTGCCTCAGCCCTAGCGCTTGGTGCGACACCAACGCCAGCAAGACCAGACGAAGATGCCACAGGGTCTTCGGATAAGCGCACGTGGAACAAGCTTTTCGAGGCGACAGATGGAGAGCGGATTTGTAGTACTTCACTAGAGTCTTGAATACGGGTCTCGGATAGACAACAAACATCAACATTAAGACCTTCCAAAGACATAGCCAGCCCTATCTGTTATCTGATATGCATTAGTGTGCGAACGTTGAAGGAAGCCAGCTTGAACGGCGTACGTGGTTTCAGAAAGACTGCTTCAGTATTTATTATCGGTGGAAGCATTCACTTTCAACCAGACAGTGACTGGAGATCGTTTAGATAGGACAGATTTTCCACCATGGGCGAGCTGCTGCATAAGTTGAAAAGTAAGGTTACACAAATTGGGGATAAAAGGGGGTGAGTTAGCGATATGGTAAATAATAATAATAATAATAATAATAAAGGTAATAATAATAATAATGAAAATTGTCTTGTTTTTAGTATGAGCAGGGATATTATCGTCAATAGAGTTCATCATTTCATTCATTTTTGTGTGGGCTGTGATACTGCCCGGGTGCCCAAACCGAAGCAGGTGGTTTTCTTAGGGGACCACACCCCGAGCCTTTGACCTAAAGGTCTGATCCACAAGGCAGTGGAGCATCGTGAGGAGATGCAGTCCCATGGTAGCCGTTGACCAATGACAGGTTCTTCCGCCATTCGTTCCATACTGGAGCCCATGTGCACCATTGGTTTGGAATCAGGGTTTTTCAACTCCCCTAGGTGGACCCTCCGTGTCCACCAAACCGGTTATAGCGCCGGACATTCGCTTTTGGTCCTCTCACTTTCGTAAACAACACCCCCGCCACAAGAAGGCAGTGAGTAGGACTTCCCTGGCAGAGGCTATATATTCGCTGGCCATGTGAGAGCATTTCGAGAGGGAGAGTAGACTCTCCCCACTCTCGGCCGTACCAGGGCGTAGAAGGAATAACTGACTATTTACCTAATAGCTGGATTGTACATAATGGTTTAGGATAAAAGGAAATGAATACTAGGATCAGGGTCTAATCATATGTATCAATTTTTCAAAATTAAAATGTTTTGTTTTGTTAGAGATTTAAGAATCTTTACCTCATATTACCTATTTGTTAGTCTACTGGATACATAGCAGATTGCTAGATAAAAATGGTAAATCATTTGATAAGGCTGAATCCCTATTGTGTGGTGTGGTTGGAACGTTAGTTACATTTGCTCGGCCTCCTTATTTATTTATTTAAACACATAAATATTGGTACAAGGAAACAACAGATAAATATGCGCCGCACAAATCTCATTTGATTTGTGTGAGGGCTGTGATACTGCCCAGGTGCCCAGACTGAAGCAGGTGGTTTTCTTAGGGGGCCACACCTCAAGCCTTTGACCTAAAGGTCTAGTCCACAAGGCAGTGGAGCATCGTGAGGAGATGCAGTTTCATGGTAGCCGGTGACCATCAGTTGGTTCATACGCCATTCTCTTCTTCAGGATACTGGAGCCCATGTGCACCATTGGTATAGAATCAGGGTTTTCCAACTCCCCTAGGTGTCCACCAACCCAGCTAAAGCGGCGGGCATTCACTTTTCGTTCTCCCAATTTCGTAAACAACACCCCCGCCACAAGAAGGCAGTGAGTAGGATTTCTTTGGCAGAGGCTATATACGCGTGACCATGTGAGAGCATTTGGAGAGGGAGAGCGGACTCTCCCCACTCTCGGCCGTACCAGGACATTTTGGGGCCTCCTAGAGGTAACCACACCCAGACATATTATTAATCAATCTTTTTTAATGTAGTTTAAAGAATTTCAGTAGGACGAAAATTTTCAGCTACTCTGCGAAATATGTTGTAATGATCACAGGTAACATGTTGAAAATATATAACCTCTGCCAGGGAAGTTCTACTCACTGCCTTCTCGTGGTGGGGGTGTTGTTCACAAAAGTGAGAGGACGAAAAGCGAATGTCTGGCGCTTTAACCGGTTTGGTGGACAAGGCGAGTCCGCCTAGGAGTTGGAAAACCTTGATTCCAAACCAATGGTGCACATGGGCTCCAGTATCCTGAAGGAAGGAATGGCGTATGAACCAACTGTTGGTCACCGGCTACCATGAGACTGCATCTCCTCACGATGCTCCACTGCCTTGTGGACTAGACCTTTAGGTCAAAGGCTTGGGGTGTGGCCCCCTAAGAAAACCACCTGCTTCAGTCTGGGCACCTGGGCAGTATCACAGCCCTCACACAAATCAAATGAGATTTGTGCGGCGCATATTTATCTGTTGTTTCCTTGTACCAATATTTATGTGTTTAAATAAAATATAATAATAAAATCCTAGTTTCGTAATAAGTAAACCACACAAATTTTATGTATTGCTTTATTTTATAGTCTGAATTTTGTAACTGCGGTTCCACATTAGCGATTACTCAGGCTTCTGCCGCGAAGATTTATCACCATCTAGGTTTTCCGAAAGGAAGGAATGAAATATTAGAACAGGGCTATAGATCAAATGCTCTTCATATTTGGGGTACTCACAATCTTAGTACAGAGGATGTTTTATCTTGGTTATCTGATTACAGTCCAAAATGTATCGAATGGATAAATGATGCATCATGTATGTTTAATTATGTTAATATCGTTATTCGCCTTCCTTATTTCTGGAATTCTCAGTTACGGTGATTATCATGAATCATATTTTTGTTTGATTTCAGTTAGTGATAAACAAAACTAACTCATAAATGATTGTATTTTATGGTTCTCATACGCACATACTGTGGTGGAATTTGTCAAACTTTGTACTTGTAGAAAAAGTGGTGTAGAAAAACAACAATTTTGTATTCGTTGTCAATGAATTATTGATGGAAGAATTGTTTTTGGTTCTATTGACAGTTTTAATTCGTATACGCGAATGTATACCAAGTATAGGCATAGGTCCTTATTGTGTATTTATTTGAATTGTATTACAAAAGTCAAGCTCATGACTTACGCAAGCTTATTTAACACTGAAAATAAAAATCTACAGTTAATAAATATTAGGCGTAATCATAAAATATGAAACAGTCTAAGATATGCTTGAAAGTGCTTTAATTTTTTGATTTTTGCTACTATTCATTGATCTTTCACTTAAAATTCGGTCATTTTTGTTGACGTATACTCGATTATAGCGTGCAGGAAGGCTAAATGAAGAAGTGCGTGATCAGTGTATATCAAATGTTCATTGCAAAACAAACATCAGACTACGATATTCTTAAGGTGGTTTCTTATAAAAAACTGACATTGACCTCAAGACGTTGGAAACATGTAAGCACTGTTAGATAGAGTTTATCGATAAGAAACCCTGAGTTTAGCTTTCTTATCACTAAGCACTCGTCAGCAAGGCACACCTGTTGTCTTGATGTAATTGATGCTCCCTGAGGGATTCCGTCCCCTATCATCTAGCTTCATAATATGAGTTGCTACCACTGAGTTTTTCGGACAGCGACTGATTTTTGACTACCTTCAACTACCTTATATCTTAATATATTGCACTGTGTTGAGTCATGTAGACGAGTCGTCACATTACAACTTTATCGATAGGATTCTATCAGCACTAAAAAGTCTATACAAACATAGCATTTTTCCATACTCAGTGAACAATCAATTATGAGTACCTGTAAGTACTAGATATCTCTCTTTAGCAAACAAGATTACTATTTGAGGCATGCTAATAGAGAGTCAAATTCATGTACGAATACAGTCAAGCAACTGCCCCTTCATGTTTTTTTAAACTAATCGAACCTTTATGTTTTATTCATCATTTCATTTATTTGTGTAACGATGAATAAAACATAAATGGTTAACTAAATTATTCTACAAAGGCAATTTTTCTATTCTGAAACTATTGCTGTCAGATTACTTTATAAAGGTTCGATTAGTTTAAAAAACATGAAGGGGCAGTTGCTTGACTGTATTCGTACATGAATTTGACTCTCTATTAGCATGCCTCAAATAGTAATCTTGTTTGCTAAAGAGAGATATCTAGTACTTACAGGTACTCATAATTGATTGATCACTGAGTATTGAAAAATGCTATGTTTGTATAGACTTTTTAGTGCTGATAGAATCCTATCGATAAAGTTGTAATGTGACAACTCGTCTACATGATGTTTTATGTTATGTTAGTAATGCAGAGGTTCGGCATCGTGTGTTCGGGCGCAGAGACGATAATCCAATTGGTGTCACCATCTTGAAACACCGACTTCGGTGGCTTGGACATGTTTTACGAATGTCGTCCCAGAGACTTCCACGTCGTGCATTATTTGCCGACCCTTGGACTGGTTGGAAAAAGCGGAGAGGAGGTCAGTGTATGACATGGTGTCGTGGCATGAAAGAAAGCTGCAAAGGGCTAGCTTCTGTTGGTACTTCACGACTCCCTGGTTGGGGTCCGAGAGATGGTGCAACACAGTGGCTAGAGACGTTATCGGATATGGCTCAGAATAAAAGCCAGTGGCGATCCTGCTGCAACCTTCTTTTGCTTTCTACATAAAGAATGGTTCTAACTTTCTTAAATGAAAGAGTCTTCTGGTTGTACATTTCAGTCCGCCTTATCTTTTCATCTTTTCTCTTCCTACTTTTATTATTTTGTGTGGCGCATATGTATCTGGTGCCCTTTTGTACCAATATATATATGTTTAAATTAAATAAAATAAATTATGTTTTATTAAGAATTAGGAAAAAACTAGTATAAGGCTTTGGTTCATTTTAGTTATTACGCTTGCTAGGGTTCCAAAGGATACTTAGGACTGTCAATGCTACTTCCAAATTTTACTGATTTAATAAAGACTAATTTTACAAGCCTAGTTCATCTGTGATTCTGTCGGGGAATTAGGAACTTTGGACAAAAAACTTGTATTAGTTGTCATGGTGTCTAATCACAACTCTTAACTAATTCAAAATAACTCAGTTGATTGGAGAGTATGTTTTTTTTCAAAATCCCATTCTGTATTTGCGTTTGCGACCATTATTATCAAATTATATAACAAGGACTTATTGTATATAGGTTACGATTAAGATCTGATTTTCACACATCGTACTAATTATATCAACAGAAATCTACTTACCATCTACATAATGTCAATCAGCCTAGGTGTATTACTTATTTCTTCATCTTATCTCTCTTGTTAAATTTATGGTGTTAATTTAGTTTTTCAACTACACTACTGTCTCCCTTAAGGCAATGTCGTGTTTGAAGATGAAAATACTGTTCTACGCGCTATAGCCGATTTTGCTGAACCATTTGATCGTCGTGTTGCATTAGCTGCGGCTGCTGCTTTAGCCTCGCTCTTAGAAAAAGATGATATTAATGATGTGAGCTTAAGTCAGTCAGATAATTTAGACGAAATATTTAACGATCGTAAATCTTTGACGTTATCAAATGAAACACTGGATTCTATTGAACAATTTTCTCAACATCTACCTCCAACCGGACGTTGGTATAAGGCATTATCAGTTCCACCTCAAACAATATCACTTTTTCTACGATTCCCACACAAAAGTAAGGGGATATTATATTTCATCTTTATTTCTTAAGTTTTAATTAAAAGTGGTTTATTAATTTGATTTTGTTCTGAAAATATGTTTAACCATCGCTTATTTCTTTCAAGTTAGATAATGGCTAACAGTAAAATCTTGTACGGGTATCTCGTTCTATTTGAGATCTGTCAAATAAACGCACTTATATCTCATTATTGATGTTCATGATAAGAATCAGACTCAGTACCGTTCTCTTCAATTGCCGTGTTATCTGATAAGCCCCTAAATTCAGATAGTCACTAGCTTATTCAACAAGTATACATTTTATTTGTACAGGTTGCCTCGATATTTCTATTCAGTTCAGGATCCACATATGCCAATAGGGATTGATCATTTGGAACCATTAACACTAACAACTGTAAAATACGTATCTTCACAAATAATTGCTTATAATTTTAAGATTATTTTAGTAGACAACGCTTACCTCATATTTGAACAGCAAGCTATTTAATTGTAGTAATTCAGTAATGACTTTGTGATAAAATTTCCAGTAAACTGATATTCAAGTTTGATCTATCATACTCGATTTGTTGTTGCTTTAATGTGACGCAATTTAATGGTTTAAAAATTTACAACCAAATCAATTTGAACCGCTAATATACTGTTATTTATGCCGTAGTTTTTATCAAGAAAAAGGTTATGAAAATGACGTGAACTTTCGTTTAAGTGTCTAACTTTGAGATTACATGCATAAGGAAGAGTTTCTTACGCTGCTCATATTGTCTCTTAGTTATTCAGATAGTTACTTTCTTTGTTAAAAACTTGAACACTATTTTAAAATAATGAGGAATGTTAGTTCACTCGTATCTTTCACAACTGCAATGTGTTTCGATAAACATTACTATTCGATAATTTGGTAGACAAGTTGAGGAACATTACATCTCAAAATGGTGGATCGGTTTAATTGATTGCATTTCATAATGTATACGAATCGAGAAAATCAACAAATGAATGTTGGAATGAAGCCAAGCAAAGTGACTCAACTGTTTGTCTCTAAGGTTAATAAAGCTTGTCTGTGTTCGTTTAAAAAGTATGTAAAAATTGGATAACAAATGTTACTCAAATTTTCGAATGTAGTATTATCCAAAGCTAGTTTATATCCTTCAACATTGAGTTTTTACTCTACATGAGGGGTATCAAGTTTATTCCTCTTATCAAGTGCGTGCAGTCGTTTGAGATCTAACGCTTTTTGTTCTGTTTTGCTTTTTCAGCAGATGTAAAACTACCTGGGGCAGAACGTCGAAGTCTTTATTACCGCCGTTTTGGTAACCCTAATTATGGTGGGATGACTGGTATTTTAAGTCGTTCATACAGACGTCGTGTTCGGATATCGCGAATTAAATCCAGCGACGATCCTAACGGTGACTCACGTCATATTGAAAGTTTATCTGCACAATTTGCTGAGTTGGTTGCCAACGCTTATGATGATCCCGATTCAATAGTTAATCAAATGGTTGGTAATAGTAACTACAATATATGGAATTCAGCTTCCCAAGCACCTGCACCTGAGCGTCCACTTGTTGTTTACGATAATCTGTACGATGAATCAGATCAAGTAGCTCATCCCACAATATTTTCCAAATATAATACAAAGTCCAACACAAGACAGCGTCGAAATGCTAGCGGTAAGGTCCTTAAGTGTTTCTATTATTCTTATCACCATGCTATGCGAATTTGTGCAGAGAGTTGTGTCAGTATTTGAAATTCTGTCTTCCGTTTCCTTTGCGTTCTTCCTTCCCCAGTGCTCTCTAACCCCTACATTTCGTTCGACCTAACTTATATCAGAACGAGAATGAGCTGGAAGTACGTTCCAAAGAACCATGTATATCGACGAAAAGGCATCAGTTTATATTGAATTTACATGAGAAATTTATAGCTCACCAAGTCCAAGTTAAAATTCAACCAATTAATGTACTTGAGTTAATTTTGGACTGAGCTTGGAATTGTTTGTCAGTTTATCCTTTTAACAGTTCCCTTTGCGTACAGATCCCGGAGTTGTCTTACAAATTGTCCAACTCGTTTACCTTTACTGTGTTAAGGGCATAGGATTTCTATCTCTACATAGAGGTGCGAACAAAATAAAATAAACCCTCACACGTACATTGATAGCATTTTGGAATTTAGCATCTAGTCAGAAAAATTCCATATATATGTTCAGTATTTCATGTCTATAATTATTTGTATGACGTATACCACAGTACTTCGTTTGGTTCATTTGTACCGTACATAATTCAATATCATAGTTGAATATCAGACTGATCATATGATGCTTGCTAAATATAAATTATAACTTTATTGCATCTTATTTTATCTGTAGATTAGCATAAAGTACACTGAATTATTCATTATTGACGCTCAATAGGACTTCAGTGACATTCAAAAAAATCAATTTGAAACATATTTTATCATATACCAATAATGTTGTTGAGTAAGAATCAATTTCAAAGTTGTTGAGTTTATCTAGCTGAATGGGTGGTACATAAGGTTACAATCTTATTTCTATCACTACTAAAAAACTTACCAATGACATATTACCTCTGTGTAAGTGATAAAAACGAGATATTGTTTGGTATACGGTAGTGATATACACAATATATTATCAACTTTGATTATTTGGCTTTTCAGAACGTAGTTGTAGTGCTATGGTATTACTTATCAACTTCTAGTCTTATTCTGATGCCAATTCATTCACTTTTTATGAAGTGGCTTGGTAATTTTCTTATTCTCCTAATGTCTTTCAGTTTGGCACATAAACAGGTACATCCAGCTGACGAGTCCCAAATGGAACGAAATACGCGTCCTGGATTCTACCGCTAGCCACCATCCATCTTTGCTTACAATAGTACATAAGCATGTTTGCCGAGTTATTACTGCTTGAAGGAATTCCCCACTACATAAAAAATATATGTCTAGATAAAAACAGAATGGAGTCCTTGGTACCATTTTCTAACTTGGTGAATGATATTCTTACTGACTTTATAGCTGATCATATTTTCGCTTATCATAATTCAGCCTAGTTTAATGCTTATAGTCACTGAATCTACTTAGTAATCTGAACGCTTAACCATGTTGCTCGTATACGAGCTCTTAGGTGATTGTAGCTTTACTTGCGTACTTACTTACGCCTATTACCCCTCGTGGAAAAGCATAGGCCACACACCAGTATTCTCCACCCAACCCTGTCCTGGGCAATACTTTCCAGTCGTCATCCATCCTTATCATATCTCCTATTTCCCGGCGTAATGTGTTCCTTGGCCTTCCTCTTTTCCACTCCCCTTCAGGATTCCAAGTTAGGGCTTGCCTCGTGATGCAGTTTGATGATTTCCTTAAGGTATGTGCCATCCGCTTGTAACACATTTTCCTCTTGAGTTGGAAGCTGATTTGTCCTCTCCCACGGAAGGCTGTTGCTGACAGTATCCGGCCAGTGAATGTTGAGTATTTTGTGTAGACAACTGTTTATAAATACTCGTACCTTTTCGACGATAATTGTGGTAGCTCTCCACGTTTCAGCTCTGTATGTACAGTAGGACTGTCTTGACGTTCGTATTGAAAATTCTCACTTTGAGGTTAGTTGACAGTTGTTTAGAGTTCCATATTTTCTTCAATTATAGAAATGCTGCCCTTGCTTTGCCAATCCTCGCCTTTACATCTGCATCAGATCATCCTTGTTCATCGGCGATGATCCCACGTACGTGAATGTTTCTACACTTTCGAGAGTTTGTCCATCAAGTGTGACTGGGTTAGTGTTCTCCGTGTTGTATTTGAGAATCCTACTTTTCTTTTTGTGTATGATGAGGCCTGATGATGTAGAGGCTGCTGCTACATTTGCTGTCTTCGTGTGTATGGGATAAGAGGACTAGGTCATCTGCGAAGTCCAAATCATCTAATTGATTCTGAGAAGTCCATTGTATTCCATATTTCTTGTCAGATGTCGAATTCTTCATAATCCAGTCAATCACTAGAAGGAAGACAAATGGGGAGAGTAGACAGCCTTGTCTGATTCCGGTCCTTACTGGAAATGCATCTGTCAGCTGTCCTCCATGCACCACTTTGCACTGTAGTCTGCGCTGTATGAGTTCCGTATAATGTTAACAATCATCTCAGTAACTTCATAGTGTCGAGGAAGTTTCCATAATGTTCTCCTGTCCACACTGTCAAACGCCTTCTCATAGTCAATGAAGTTGATGTGTAGTGACGAGTTCCACTCAACTGATAGTTCGACGATGATCCGTAGTGTCGCAATTCGATCTATACACGACCGGTCCTTACGGAATCCAGCCCGTTGATCTCGAAGTCGAGCGTCTACTACATCTTTCATCTGGTTCAGCAACACTCTGTTGAAAACTTTTCCTGGCACTGACGACAGTGTGATGCCTCTATAGTTCTCACATTTGCTCAGATCTCCTTTCTTTGGTATCTTGATGAGGTATCCTTCTTTCCAGCCCGTTGGCACTTGTTCATCTTCCCAAATCTTCTTGAATAGAAGGTGAAGCATTTTCGCAGTTACTTCAATGTCTGACTTCAGTGCTTCAGCTAGTATATTGTCAGGTGCTGCTGCTTTCTCATTCTTGATTTATCTGATGACCGGCCGTCTTGACTTCTTCGATCGTTGGTGGAGTGACATCTATAGAAAGGTCTGTGTGTGCTGCTTCGATGTCCGGTGGATTCAGTGGGGCTGGTCTATTCGGAAGTTCCTCGAAGTATTCTGCCCATCTGTCCCTCTGTTCTTGAATCTCCGTGATTGTCTTTCCTTCATTGTCCTTGACTGGTCTCTCTGGTTTGCTATATCTCCCTGCTAGTTTCTTCGTTGTATCATATGGTTGTTTCATACTCCCTTCTCTTGCATCTTTTTCCGCCGTCGTTGCTAGTTCGCCTATGTATTTCTGCTTGTCAGTTTTAATGCTTCTCTTCACTTGCTTGTTTGCTTCTGCGTACTCTGCTTGCGCCTTGACTTTCTATGCTCGCGTTCGACTGTTGTTGATTTCTGTCTTCCTTTCTTCAATCTTGTCCGGGGTTCCTATAGAGATCTATTCCTTATAGTGATGCTTCTTGCAACCCAGAACCTCCTGACACGTTGAAGTTAATGCTTCCTTGATCCCTTTCCAGTTGTCCTCCATCGTAGTTTCTTCTTCTTTCAGTAGATCCTGTAAAGCTTGTAACCTGTTGTTGAGAGCTGTCTTGAATTCGTTGAGTTTGTTAGTATCTCGAAGGAGGGCTGTATTGAACCTTTGTATTACTGTTCTCCCAGTTGTCCAATGTTTCTTTAGCTTCAGTCTCAACTTGACCACAACTAGGTGGTGACCAAGTGGTGATCTGAAGCTATATCAGCTTCTCTCCTGGTTCTCACATCTTTCATTGTCCTTCGGAATTTTTTGTTGATACAAAATGATCTATCTGGATCTCTGTGGTGTGATCCGGTGAGATCCATGTAGCTTTGTGTATGCGTTTGTGTATGAATATTGTGCCGCCTATAACCAATTTGTTGAATGCATATAGATTTGCAAATCTCTCCTCATGTTCATTTCTCTCTCCCAGTCCATATCGTCCATTTATAAATTCATATCCTGTGTTGTCCGGTCCGACTTTAGCATTTAGATCTCCCATCAAGATGATCAGGTCCTTTCTTGAGCACTTAGCTATGATTGATTGCAGCCTCAAGTAGAACTGACCTTTATCGTCGTCGTTGCTATCATTGAAGGTTGCATAACATTGAATAATATTCATTGTGATCCCCTCCTTCTTTGTTTTGATTGATGCTTTGATGATTCTGGATTCGTGAGATTCTCATCTTACAAGTGCATTTCGTGCTTCTCTGGACAGCATTAGTGCAACTTTCTGAGTGTGTATAGCATTTTCCCCTTCGTGACCAGAGTAAAGAAGCATCTTTCCCATGTCTAGCCTTTGCTGTCCAGCTTGTGTCCAATGTGTTTCGCTGATTCCGAGTACTGCCAATTTGTATCTCCTCATTTCCATTGCTATTTGACTGGTCTTTCCGATCTTCTACATTGTCCGGTCAGTCAGACAGCTACAACGTAGGACCAGGCACATATATGCATCGGTCCAAGTTGCCATACCTCGTTAGCATAACAAGATGAACACCGGATTCATAGAAGTAATTAATTCTGTGGTGGTAATATATAAAGAAAGGCTGTATATAAGGATATATTATAGGAAGGAAAAAAAGTTATGAAACAATTTTGATCTCAAGGTTTAAGGCAAGATCTAGAGTGTATACACCGACGCCGTTGTGTTCGATTCTGAGCCATGTCACACAGAGTCTCCAACTATCAGTTACGATAGTCACGCGGACTCCAACCAAGTAGTCTGCATCTACCAACATGGCTCAGACTAAGAGTTAGTGACTTCAAGCACTGATGCCATGTTTTGGTTTTGCCGCCCCTAACTCTCTTCCAACCATCCCCTATACTAGTCAGCATTGCTCGCCGTGGTAATCAGTGTTCAGGCATACGTAACACGTGGCCCAACCATCTCAGTCGATGAAGATTCATGACCTCATCAACTGATTTACCATCATTCCCTAATACTTTGCGTCTAACCTCACTATTACTTACCCGGTTATCCCAGCAGATGCGAGCAATATTTCTAAGACATCTGTGGTCAAATACTAGCAACTTGAGAGTATCTTCTACTCTTAATGGCCATGTTTCGCAGCCGTAAAGTATAACACAGCGAATTGCTGCGCAGTATACTCGTCCCTTAATTGATAGACTGATATCTCGTCTTTGCCATAGGTGACGTAAGTTGGCGAATGCCAAACGGGCTTTTTGAATCCGTGATGAGATTTCGTCAGACACCAACTCATTAGGGCTGATCAGACTTCCAAGATAAGTGAAGTTGTCGACTCGTCCGACTACTTCACTCCCTATCCTTAGTTGAGGTGTTGACGCAGTCCAGTCCTGGAGTAACAATTTACATTTGGATGGGGAGAAACGCATCCCAAACATCCTGGCATTATTACTCAGTTCTAACAGAAGACTCTGCATTTTGTCAGCGTCTTCACCAAACAGGACTATGTCATCTGCGTATTCTAAGTCGATAAGTGGACCCCCTGGACATTGTCCGGACGTCCCATGAACCTATAAAAATTGTTGTTCTGGTGATTGAAATGGGCATCTGCGTCATGGCTTCCGTAAAATCTCGGGTTTCATCCTGAGGCGTCATAATTCTTCCTTCAAGTGCCAGGGCAGAGTTTAAATAGATTTGATTTGTTTAATCTGGTTGTATTTTTTAGCAGGATTTTTTTCTACAGGATGAGATTGCCTAATCCTCTTATTTTGTGTGGGCTTGGGACCGGCAATAACTTTAGAAGAGCTACAGGCGGAGTTGATTGTAGGTTTAGTTGTTATTTTAGACAACTATTTTTTTTAAAATAAAAGAGTAAAAGTCTGAGTGAACTGATCTGACCTTTGTTGTCACAACTAATTTTTAGGAAACTATGACCTGTGCAAATGAGTTTAATGTCTGAAGGCAAGGTTTCACAGTTAAATTGCGCTCCTGTATCTAGAAATAAATAATTACATATATTTGTCTACTTACGTGTTAACCAATTTTCAAAGGAATGCTATCTAGGGGTTTTACTTGTTTTAATGCAACTGTCTTCGTGAAAAACGGATACTTTGGACACGAAGTTTATTTAGTGCTACTTAGTAATACTACTCATCAGTAACTTATACTTGTCCCAAAAAATTGCTGGGTATCCAATTGGCCTAGTTATCTAATTAATCATTTTTAAAACACTCTTTTGCTTGTAATAGAGTATTGATGGTACTCGATTGTTCAAGCCGAAGCAGGTGGCACTAGGTTTGAACTTGGTGTCTAATGATTGGAAATTGAGTGCCTTACCGCCACACTTTCCTTACTCAATTTTTATTGACTTAATTTGACTGACTAATATAGTTAGTATTCGTTATACCTTATTGAAATGATATTTTCTCTTTTTTTGCTCGGTTCTGAGTGTTTATTACTGTTTTCACTCATTAGAATAAGCAAATATATCACGAGAAGTCAATAATCTAACTTCATTCTAGTATAACTGACAAAGTTTATATAGCATTCTCAGTTGTTGTTTTGACACAAAGTACACAATATTATATTTGTATTGTTTGATTTATTGGTGTTTGCGATGGATATTAAAAATTTATGGGTATTAAAAGTGTGCACGCTAAACTGTTTATTGTAAACTACCTTTCAACGCCTACTGTTAGTTGAATTGTTTAGTTTCTAGTTTATTCGTTATTAGTATCATCTGCTAATACATTGTTTGGACACCAAACCGTCTCTCTTGTATTTTATTCCATATGTGGTGTTAGTGTAACTTTACAAGGCTATACTTTAAAATGTCTTCTGTCATATATATCCACAAAATTCACTTGTTTTAGAGTTCCCTGTACCTAAACCTCGACGACAGCCTCACAAATGGCCTCGTCGAGATCGCGGTCCAACACCAAATCGCTGGCTGACGAATGACGACGATGATGAAGATGAGGATGATATATTTGAAAATCCAAAACCTGGGACGATTGTGGTTTTAGACCCACGGGAACCATGGGGAAGTGCATTATCTGGTAACTCTAAGCCGTCCTTGCGCTCAAGTGGCTCCAGTCGAGTCAAACCTGCTAATCGTCATTATTGTCGTAGCATTGCAACAGTTACATTAATGCCTGATACCGATGTTAATGGTGATATAAATGTAGTTGAGGACGAAAATGCTCTCAGAACCAGGCGTTTGTTGGCGTCAATGAGCATGGTTGCAGACATCGAATCCAACTCTGGAAGACCTCGGTAATTTTAATACTTTACTTTGAGCACTATAGTTTTACTAGTGTGAATTTTGTATTGACTGCTTTAAATCATAACATTATTTCGGCCATCATTCTAAATTCATGTTAAATTCAACATACTAAGTCTACTTAGTGCATGTTTTAAATTGTGAGTGCTTGTTTTTGGTTCTCAAATGATCTAACTCCTAATCTGTGGGTCGATAATCGAATGTATCAAATTGCATTGAAGAAATGAATCTGGATTTATTTTTTTAACCGTCCTATATCATCTTCTAGATCTATACAGGTTGTAAAGTTCTGCATAGACGCTTACCTATATAGCATTTTCTCTTATGATGTTCGTGTATCATAGGAATTATTTTAATTTGAGAGTCCTATTATATGCTAACTTGTTTTGAGAATAAGTTGTTTTAGTCATTGGTGTATCTGTATTGGGCTTGTTTTCCGTTTATTTAGGTCTGTTTCAGAACGTCTTGGTGTCCCTGGAAATCGTCCAATTAAATCACGCAAACCAAATATTTGGCAACGCTTGGGCTAAACTTCATTTTCTTATTTAGTAATCTTTCTTTGTAAAAGCCTTTTAACTTCCTTCGCCAGATCCTTCTGGTATTATATTATATATTTTTATCTTTAGTCTAGTGTATATATATCCATCCAGTATTATCCTTTTTGTTTTGCTTAATTTCACTTACAGAGTGTAATCTTATTCTAACCACTAGTTGTAAATATAAAAGAGATTTATTTACACTAACAATATCAGTGCTTTTGGTTGCCTTCTTTTCTTAACGAAACTTGTTAATCATGTTCGATTTCGTGCAATTATCATTGAAAACTGTTGATACTCTTCGGTGTATTTAGGCCTTAATATTCAGGATATCACTCAAATATGCAATCTAATGATTACAATTTAATTGTTTAAACATTACTTAACATCTATCCCGTTTAATACCAATGTGTTTATCAGAATTAATTGGTTAGTAGAACTGGTCAGTATTTTTGTATATGTAATGTAATTGAGTGTAAACATAAAATACTGTTGAGAATTTCAGTAGGATGAAATACATCGCCTTAATCAATTACAGACTTGAAATGCATGTTGACTGAGAGGAACTAAATGTTTTTGTTTTAAGAAAAAGCAGAACACTTGTGTGCTTATATATATATATATTTCAAAAAAACTATAAGTGACATCCTACCTTATATATAGTTTTGATGAGTCTTGGAGGGATCTTTGAAACTAGAATGGTTGAAGATAACCATTCAAACTTCCAAATTTCGTTATTGCATTTATGAAATTTCAATAGCCAATTAAAGGATTTGTTACCACCAAATTGTTTTTATTTACGTCTTAGAGTCTATAGATAACTAAGAAAAAACACATATTTCTACCTATTCTTTGTTGAGACAGTAAAGATTGATTTGGTTGTAAACTTATTTCAAATTGAATTTTCTCACTAAGCCAAAATTCGATATGAGGATAAAATAAACCAACTTCACTATATCCAACATAATATGTTTCTTCAAATATAAACGTTTTTAAAACTGACTTCGATAGCCGGTGGACTGTTATTTTACATTTTAATTAGACTTGTCTAAAAAAATGAGTAAAACTTCAAATCTTCGAATAAAGATTTTATGCGGTTTTTTGTTAGGTATATCTACAACTTATAATTCCTGAATGTTAAGCGTGAGATGTAATTGTTGATCATTTCATTCTAAAACTGCCGCTATCATCTTTCTTGGTAGTAAAAAATTGTAGAAAATAGTAAGTAGATTTCCTTTTTAAGAAATATGCATTATTAGTGATTCTTGTATTTTAAAAATACATTGATAATAATCCCAGAAAATTAGATTGTGAATAATGCAAATGTATATGCAATTGGAATGGTAAGAACAGTCAATATGATCATTTTCTTCGTCCAGTTGGCCAAGTTTCTTATTCTACAAAATGGACAAGTTATGACTAATTTCCCTTTTTGTTCAACAAATTATCCACATTTACCGAAAATGACTTGTGCATGTTAACTAAATTATGAATCATATAAATGTATTGCTAAAAAATAAGTGTAAATGTATACAATGAGGAAGGAAAATGACAGACAAATTTGTTCTAAGATTTATGATAACATCAATTTGATGAATGGTTGGTGTTTATCAAATTTAATTTCCTCTCCAAAAGGATAAACAAGATGTATTTTGTCAACATATACTCAATTATTGTAAAATTTATGGAATACAACTGATTGTTGGCTCAATAACCCAGGAAGGTTTTTTGGCATGCATTGAATGATGACTATTCATTAGGCAATTATCATTTAAATTGATAGATATATGCCATTCGCAACTATGTATACAGTTATTTAGAAGTGTTCATTGTTTAACGCACTGATTCAAAGTTTCAGATTTTATGTTTTTCGAAATTACTTCAAAAACATTGGCACCGTAAAGACTGATGGATTTCTTTTAACTAGGAAACATGTATCACACTAATTACAGCATAGTAAAGAAATAATAATGTTTGCACACTAGCTAGTCGAGAAATATGTCATATTGGCGTGCATAAAGTAGTCAAGTTAACCAAACATTGATTTCATTCGGCCAAAAATAGTCATGTTTAAAAGTGCTTATAACTGTCCTCCATAGTATCACAGAAACCAAAAAATATCGCGAATATATTTAGCTAATTAGTGCATTTGGTAAATTCCAGAATTTAATATACTACATATTGGTTAAACTCAGGTGTCATTAATAACTCTCGAATCTTCCTTAGAAGTTCCCAAAACCTCAAGTTAGCTCGTTATGATTCACAAAAGTTAACATTACAATATGACTTCAGTCGTATGTGCTCAGGAATACAGGTCCATTGAATGATCATAGTAGAGAATTTAGCTCAAGAGTGCAGCTCTCGTAATTGACAAATGAAAACAAATTTGAAAAACTAAATATTCCTCTCCGGATCGGTGCACATAAAATACTCAATCTCAAGAGATATTATCCGACTCAGTAGTTATCAAAATGAATCAACCTTAAATTCATTTAAATTAGACCTAGACTCAGTAATTCATTCTTCAGTAAACCGTTTTCCCATTATCTTTCCTTATTCTAACATTCTCATATGCAAAACCATCTTCATAAAAGAGTTTTCTGAGTACTGTTCAAATATCTTTTAGTTGTGGGGAGATTCTTCCGTTTTATTAATTCCAAACCTTGATAAGACAAACTATTTCAAGAAATAATATTTTAGGGTTGCAATGGATATTATTAGGCAGTACAGGTACATGTGTGTTTATCTTTTAGTTACTCTTTTAGTGTATATGTATGTTATTGATACTAACCTGCTGCTCAAATCGAATTAAGCGGTCAAACATTTGAACATGTAACTTATTAGTTAACCACTAAAAAATTGCCACATGCATAAGTAACGTTATCAATTTTTCAGTGGGATAATGAGTATTCCAATATGTAGCCTTTTGCAAAGGTTTTTGAAAGTTAATCACTTCAGAGATTTTAAAAGTTCTGTCAAAATGTTTATTCAGATAGTTAACAATTTACTTGATATGGAAAACACTATTCATGTTATAAAGTATTTTGTTATCTTAGTAAAAGTTCACTAGTTACTAAGGTATTCTGTCACCTGAAGTCTCATGCGGAAGTTCTGATCGTTGATATCAAAGTACAGAAATGATTACCGTGGTAAATAAATTAAGAAAGGTCGTTTATTTGATAAAGTGATTTTAACTGATTTTTGAATAGGAGGGCTATATCTGATAATAATAGTTATAGCTTTATTCAGTAGGATATGTTTAGAACAATACGGTTCGCCGTGAATTCCAACGCATAGAGGTGCAATGTTGACTTCAATAATTAAATCTGATTACGATAAAAATAATAATATCAGCTGCATGTAAAATATTAATTTACATTCATAAGCAGTGATGTAATACTTTGATGACTTTTCCTTAGGAGTGATGTTAAGTTAGCAAATATGTAAAAACTGGGTATTACGAAGTAGTTTGTTTCAGCAGATAGTGAGTAATATGAATCTCCATTACTATGATGAATTTGTGAAAAATTCTGAACTTTCCTATAATGATTAAGACAAGAATATTTATCATGAAGCGATTCAGATTACACTTACGAAATATCCTACTTTTATAAAACATTAAAAACGATGTAATTCTAATATAGATTAAAGAGACCACTGTCCTTAACTCAGAAGATCAAAATCCACTAAGAGAACATGGCAATTTTACTATATACGGTAAAGATATAGAAGACAAGAAGTAAGCTTCTCTTAAATTTCAAGATTATTGACTGAAAAATGAACTATAAAAACATTCGTTTTACAGTTGTGTAAGTATTTAAAGTAAGATCAGGTACTTTGTGTATCGAAGCTTTATTTTACTAAAAATAAATGGGCTCTACTGATATCTTTCGTTTGTTTTTTATATTCGTACATTCAGAAGGAAGCTTCGGATCATTAATTTGATTTTTATGCGTAACTGTCACTTAGTCGCGCGATTAATATCATAGTATGCTGATAATGGAAGCCATATTACAGTAAATTGGCGTAATAAATCGAATCTATGAAACTATACAAGGACGATTACTCGTTTTTGAGGAACAATGTAAAGAATCTACTATATCACTAAGGAAGAATTCAAGACGTTGAGCAGAAAAAGGGACTTAATTCCCATTTTATTGTTGATACCCAGATAAATACTTTCCAGTAGCACAACTGAAGATTAACTACTTTAACTCGAATAAATACTCTTCGGAAATGATAATCTATCAAGGTTCACTGATATAAACCTGTAATGAAAACTACAAGTTGAAAAGTCACTGATAGTCCAAAAGAAAACTCCTTACATGGATATCGAATTTAAAGATGATGCCGTTGCAGAAACCCTGAGAAACTCAATTTTGAAACCTCTGAGAAGCTCCATACTGTCTTCTCTAGATGGTTCATTATTCTTAGAAGTGTTACGTATAAATTTCTTTGGACAACGATATGAACCTTTAAGTTCACCTGCTCTTATGGGGCAGGTTACACTGACCACACAAAATGAATGCTTTCTGAGCGCACCTCAGATCATTACTCGTAATTGCTTTTAAAGCTAGAATGCGAAAAAATCAGTAGCTAAATACAAGAACATATCAATTCTAATCATTTCGCTCCACAAGAATTATCGCTCAAAATAATCTATACAGTTAAACCAGTTGTCTCAAAAGAGCACCAATCAAAACTTGTGCGTTGCAAAAGCTTTAACATTTAGTAGTTCGAGCCTCAGTAGCAACATCTTAATGCACATTTAGTAAAGTTAACTAGAATGATCAGAGAACAGTTTTGGTTTAAACCGTTCAAAATTATTCTGTATTTTACAGGTATTAGATCCTGGGAACTCACACATTATTATTATTATTATTATTGACATATTCACCCAATACATATTTATATACTTGGCTTTGAGTCATATTCTATGTATGCTGGCTGGTAATGCCATCTTACTGGGTAAATCTCAGTAGGTGAAAGGCGGTAGGTTTGAAATAGGAGATATGGTGGCAGGCAGTGGGATGTCTTAACCAATGAGCCAACATTCCACTTACTTTTCAAAATGTATTACTAATTTTGAAATTGTAATTCACAATTTTTCGATACATGTAATGATAAACAATGGTGTTAAATAAATGCCCTACTTTTTCCTAACTAATAAAGTTAATTTTTTCTAATTCAAATGGTACAAAAAAATTTAACATGAAAAAAGTCAATAGTGTAAAGTCTGTTACCTAAGGGTTCATTTTATAATCATCTGATACTACTTACTTATTAGTTTTACTTCCATTTTATTTAGTATTTGGGTCTATTTTCTTCTCTGATAAGATTACAGTATTTACTGATTAAATGCAATTTACTTTTCTTTCGTTATATCATATAATGGAGAATTTGAGCATTAGATGCATCTTTTTCATATCTTTCACCGGTCGCCCGATCGGAGCTTTTATATTGTAGGGGTTGGTACTATGGAAAACCCACATAGGTTATTTCAACCTCTGGACAGACCAATCTATTCATTTTTCTTAAGTCACATTCTTACCTTGTCACTTATTCGTTTATTAACTCAAGCTGTTCTTTATATGATCGTATGTGTGTTAACTACTTATGTGTCTGTAATTTATTTTTAGTCTTACTATAGATATTAAGTAACGCTTGGTTAAAGGGAGTTGGTTCACTAACCTCCTCCGCTACATGTGATTTCGTTTCCCTTAGCTTCGTTCCCCTGATTGTCTGTCCAGATCAATGAGTGTACAAAATTTACGCATTAAAACTTCATTCTTGCGTCTGACTTATTTAACCCAGTTACTCACCAATGCCATTTAAGTCGATAATAATATACGAGGATAGCTGGGATGTATATTTCGATGACAATTATAATATGATTTAATTAGAGTCAAATAAAAGGATACACTAAAGTGATGAGTCTATCGGTAACATCATCCTCCGATCTAAATGACATCAAAATATAGGACCACTAAAATATCACTTTATTATTCAATTTTGTCTGGGAAGGCTGTAACCTGGAATCGTAGCACCCTTGGAAAAATAAAATTATATATATATATATATATATATATATATATATAGAGAGAGAGAGAGAGGGAATGATAAAAATCGAACAGTCGTTGGACAAATAGGTTTCTTGTCGTAAACCTCCAAATACTTGTCAAGTTCTCTGCTATTCAAACTATTTAGAAATATATAAAAATAAATCCACAGTAAATATATATCAATTTCTTTTGAACCAAATGGCACCAAACAAATCGATCGACTTAAAAAGATATAACGAAAAGATTTTGTTACTTTAGAGATTATTAAAAATACCAAATATTTGGGGTATTTCATTTGAAACATAGAATTTTAACTAACAGTTAGTATTGATCACTTATTTTCTTCTTAATTCACTTATAAATTAACAAGTAATCAGCAGATGAAAAGTTTTCTCTGACAATTTAACGAATTTCAATTTGAAGAAAAAGAAAGTTAATTCATCGAAGATAATTAATAAAAAAAACTTAGAGTAGTATGCTGTCAAAAAAAAAGTAGTAAGGTGAAATAATTGTCCACTTGATAGCTATTAAGAGTAGAATTATTAAAAGTTCAGACGTCCCACAATTGGACGAAACGGCTGTCCAGGGCTTCCAGATTTTCCATGGTGGACTAGCATCAATTGACTCATAATTTCAACGACATATAATTGTAATTATTGTTAATTAATAGTTGTGAAAATAATTGGAAATGATAAAATAAATAGAAATGTTAGATTATGGAAGATAGAAATGGAGAGGATTGAACATTTTGTTTTTGTGAGCAATGATTTGGCTCAAACTGGTAGATAGCAATAGCCTCTGCTATATATACGTTTTTCATTTGCAATCTTATTGAACCAACTCTTCTAACTGTAAGTATAATTCTAAAGTAGGCTTCTGGTGAAGCGGAATGGCTGGAATTCACTAGATGCTTTAAGATTGAGCTTTTGACAGACTTCTGTAATCTTTTCGAGAGCCAGGCAGGGTAATTTTTGGAGATGCATTTTGAAAAGTCTTTGTGCCACCAATATATTTCAGTTTACTAATCATTAAATTTACTACTCGTTTTTAAGTCAAAGTTCGGTTATCTCACTTAGTATTATTAGATTATTAAAATATTCAAAAATATGAAATGCAATGTTCAACTAGAAATATTCGAAACGATTTATTCGGGGGGTGGGGATCGTGGATGTACACTGCTGAGAAGTCCCACAATAGAACGAAACGGCTGTCCAGTGCTTCCAGGTTTTCCATGGTGGACTACCTTCAATTGACTCATGATTTCAACTATATAAAAGATTTGTTCTATTCTTCATTCAAGGAGTATATTTAATGGAATATTCTATATTATGAAAATTGATTTATATTAAACTTGGGATAATTACATATCAATATAAGTTACGTGATTTTAGAAAATCGTACATGATGAAAGACCAATGTTTCAAAGGTTAATATGTTCATTTTAAATTCAATAAACTCTGCAGAATGATACTTATTGTATATTCTTTCTGGAAGTTCAGATATAAAGTTGAATTATGATAATTTTAAAAGTTTTTACACTTAATGTATTGAGTTCTTTTTCTTTTTTTCAGTTTACCAGAAAAAATTCATTTTGTCACTTAGTATTGTTTGTTTGAATCTTTCCATTGATGTTTTAGGACTGCAACTGGTCAGTCTCAGTGGTCGAGTGGATAACGCGATGGCGTTTGAAGCGAAAGATACTGGGTTCGAGTTCCAGAGTGAAAACCAACTCTCAGAGGCGGTACATCCAGCTGAAGAGTCCCAAATAAGACGAAATGCGCGACCTGGATTTCACTGCTAGCCACTATCCATCTTTGCTTACTATTCATTTTATCTCCCAGAATGAAAATATTGATTGTAAACATTTCAAACATAATTTAAAATGAATCTACTTTGATTAGACACAAAAATTCTATTTTAACCAGTTGATTGTTTATCCATAAAACAGTTCTTATATGCTCATATATATCATCATGTGATATATATCTGTATATATCTGTTAACCAATAATCAATAGGGTTGTATTTTCTACAAACCACCTCTTCGTTATTCAGTAAATTGTATTTACTAGAATAGTAGAAAACATTGTCTTTACTTTCATTTGTCTATCTGATTATCATATTTTTCAATAGAAAGTAGAATGAATGAAAGGGGACAACAGAATTCCGGAATTTCAATGTTATTCATATTCTATATGTTAATCCGATTTTCGCATAACAATCAGTAAGTTTTTCAACCAATCAAAAATCTCTTATCTCATTTGCTAGTTTCTAACTGGTGCGCATAGAGAAGAGAAAAGCATGATTAGTAGTAAAATAGATAGTTAAGTATGTAGGGGAGTGTGAAAAATAATCTAGAAACAATAATGGGCATAAAATAATAATGTTTATTGGACAAAGAATTATATTCAGTGAAATTGTTAAGGACTGTAAAATGTTAAAAATTAAAATAATTTTTTTTGTTTAATAAGTAAACAATGATTTTTCATGCTTCAGCATTTCGAATCATCATCTGCTTTCGGAAAATTACACTAATTATTCAGCGATTAATCACCAGTACAAAAATTACCGAGACATTAATAAAAAAATTTTAACTGTAAAACAGAAGTTATAAACTTTTATTACGACAACTACTGCTACTAATAATAATACCAAGTAGTGAGTAGTAGAAATGACTACTGCCAATCCGGAAATATGGGTAACATCTAATTTTAATCAGAATGGAATAATGAATCAAAATACAATGTCTAACGGTTTTAATGAGAGTAACAATAATAGTATAAGTGCAATGATCCCTATTACTGATACTACCACTAATATTACTACTATTTCAACCAACAATGGTAATAATAATAATAGTAATGGTAGTAATATTAATACAGTCCTTATATCAGATACAAATTTACAAACATATTCAAGTACAAAGTTTATTTGTTCCAGTCCAAATCGAATTGAACTAAATCAAAGTATGAATATTCATTTGAAAAATAATCATACACATAACCCTCCAGTAACATTGATCGCCACTGATCAAGATTCAAATAAATCAAGTAACAGTTCAAAATTATCTACATATTGTACACAAAATAAAAACAGAAATGATCTTAATTTTAATAAAATCAATCTATTACGTTGTAATGAATGTCAGTCAATTATATTTGATCAATATTATCATAGTATAGATGATCTTACATGGCATCAAAATTGTTTAAGATGTTTTGATTGTGGATTTGTGCTCACAGAACGATGTTATACAAAGGATGGTCATTTATACTGTCGAGAAGATTTTATCAAGTTAGTTCCCGGAATTTCCCATTTTTAATTTGTGCATGTAGTTAATTTTTTGACTTGATATTAGATTATATCAACAATAATTCCATTTTAAATTAGTTATTTCATCCTATAGGGGCTCATGAATATAGAGAATAAATGTCATTTCGTTTACCGGATACTAAACTGTAAAAATTAGTCAGTTATCCGTTCCATCTAGGTTTTTGATGTGGGCCTTTACACTGATCCATCATTTTTTTGGTAAGATATCAATAAAAGGAAGTTTTGATTGAAATTCTTATTTTATTATAAATTTAAGTGATGATTGGCAGTCATTTAGAGACTTGAAAACATGTTGGATCAGCTCATATCGAACTAAATGGGTAGATTTAATAGGTTACCATAGTAAAACAAGTGCTTTGCTCTTATATTTTACATTTGAAGTTAATTTACACAAGGAATTGATATTAGCTGAATAACTACTGTTAACTAGGGATAGTTGAACAGATCTTTCCTCCCTAGAATAAGACTACTCAGTAGTAAGCAATTATAACTTCCAACATGAGATTAAGGAAAAAATTCCAATAAATTGTATCCAGTTGCAAAGTCTTTAATAATTCTTTAAGTCATATTGGACTATAATGTAAACTGTTTGCAAATATAATAATTATCACAAATCTCTTCATTGTATATTAACTAACTTTCTTATGAATCTCCCATATTTACATAAACTGTACTGATAGGCATTCTAATGTTCATATTATAAATTATACATTTCACTATTATTGAACAGTAAGTTTTCCAAGGATATCTTCTTTCAATTATTATTACTTTATAGAAAGCTTTTCTTCTTTTTCTTCTCCATGTATGATCTTAAACAGATATGTGGAGAAAATATCACAGAACCACACTTTACACTATTCAATTTTTCTCTTTTCTTTTTTGGTATTTTTGGAATAGATTACTTGTATACCATTTATTTGCTACAGTTTTTAGAAAGTTCTATTTATGAACACTTTCTCTTTGAATTGTATACCACTATTTGATAAGAAACCAATTCAAACAAGTTAATTATAAAAGAAAGAAATAGTTTTACATTTCGGAAATAACATATATTACGTCATCTTGGTTATTAGTGTTTACATTTCTTTGCGGAATTAGTACTTTAACAAAACATTTTCATATATATACAATTGTACAGCTAGATAATAAATTCGTTTAAAAGAGATCCCTTCGCTGAACTTCGTGTTTTTAATAACATCTCTACTTGTTGAAAAGGGAAACTAAATGATGAGACTTTGAAATTACGTGTGCTAAATCATTTGTATGTATAAATGTTTGATAGAAAAATGTGACTTTTTATTTTCTGGTTATATTTTAACATTTATAAGATAATATTAACTTGAAAATTTCGACCGTGTAATTAAGAAGACGAAGATTATCAGAACTATGTGATATATTAGCGCAATACATTTCGTACAATCTGATCATACATATACAAACCCCCTTTGTGTATTCAAAAACAGTTTATTCTCACCTCAAACCTACCCTGGTAATATTAGCTTATTATCCAGAGTGATTATGTTTCCAATTGTTTTCACATTATTATTATTATTATTATTATTATTATTATTATTATTATTATTATTATTATTATTATTATCCTTGTCTACTCTTACCTCCCCTACTTCCAGTCTAGTTGACCTTTTACTTTTGTATATGAATGTTCTTACCAAGTGTATGTTTGATCAGATTGTTCGAAATGTATTGCGCTAATATACCACATAGTTCTGACAATCTTCGTCTTCTCATTGCACTATCAAAATTTATCAAAGGGACTAATTGCTTTAAACCCGAAAATTGTTAAAACTTTAAAGAATAATGGACAGTTCTATTATTACAATCTGCTTATTCTCAACATCGTGTTCTTTCAACATAGTGATGGCATAAAACAGTGATTCAAGGGCTAAATAATAAACAAAATATCTTCTAAAGTCTTTTACCCAAAAGTATTTTCTAGTAGTAAATTTGTAATGATTATTTGACTTGATCAGTTAAGAAGTGTTTTTATCTATAACTCCGTTTGTTTCACAGGTTACTTTATTCCTACTTTAAAATCACACTTTTATAGTTATGCAAGTTATTTGCTCAAACCACACATTGTCTAGCTCAGTTTTATAGGTTGGGTAATTTCATTGATTCTTTATACATGATTTGCAAATCAAAGTTCAGTATCCTAATGAATGCTTAAAAAGATCGGTTTGTATTAGTAGTCAGTTAGTTAATACTGAACATATTTGCAGCAAGATGATTGATTCTAAGTAGTAAGAATTTTGTTTCTGGAGATCTATAGAATCATTACTATTTGGTATGCTTAAAACTGAATCATGTGTTAATTATGTCATTATAAACTCCAGAATTTCCAAAGGTTAGTAAAGGTGGTGATATATCGATACTTTAAGAAGTAATTTATTGAACTGAAATCATTGATTTCCAACTAGTTATTTAATATTTTCCATTTCCGATTCATCGGTTGTAAATCGATGTGATTGTACAGAAAATTGGTTTTCACAAAACAGTTCCTAACGCATAACAAATGGAAAACAACATGAAATAGATAGTGAACCTGTAGATGTACATATAATATTTATAAAGTAGAAAATAAATGAACACATTATAGAACTGCACAGTTGTACTTGTTCTAGATTGAAATTTATCAGTAGTATGAATTACTTACTCCACAAGAAATATAAATTAAAGACTCTCAGGTCTCACAACAACTATGATACCTTTAAACTAACAAGTTTGAATACAATAGTTTACATTAACCACAAAACTATTTTTTAAGGGTTTCCCAGTTGACGATAGTTAATGATGATAAACACATTGATATAGTATATAATCTTTGCAAATAATCACAAAAATAGAAATATACACCGGAATTACAAAATATTACATTCTTACTTCTACTTTTTAATACTCAACAATGTAAATGAATAAAATTAAGCCTTCCCATGAAATATTTAAGTATAGATAGATAATGGTTATCTGTTAAAATCAGGATATCGCATTATTCAAGATTCATCGACTGGATACACCCATCACAATCCAATGTTAATATCTATATTAATACTGGAACTTAATACTTCTCACTTCAAACACTGAATATGTTATCCAAAGATCTATTGAATTCATGTAGCCATTACTTTGTATAACAGAGATAAATTTCATTGTCTATTTGTAAATGTATGAATTTTCATTTCTTCTTGTTGTTGATATTAAAGACTATAGTCATTTCTAGTATATTTACATCCCATGTGAACTGTCTTAATATTCTCATTAAATTATAAATATTTAAATATAGCTGAATAGTTTCTAACATAAATAACGAAAAGATTCAACACAATTACTAATCAATAATTTTTGTGATATATTTGTTGAAAACAAAAATGAAAACAAATTTTTAGATTTTTTTTCTAAACATTATTTGAACTATAAATTCGATTAGTATTACTTGTTTGAATCTTCCCATTGATATTTAGGACTGCAACTAGTCAGTCTCTTATTAGCATATGTGCATAGTGTGCGTACTGCCTCGATGTAGCCTAAATTCACAAGCATTATAAGCAAAGATGGATAGTGGCTAGCAGTGGAATACAGGACACGCGTTTCGTCCAGCTTGGGACTCGTCAGTTGGATGTAGCTGCATCTCGGAATTGATGTTCACTGTGGGACTGCAACCCAGTACCGTTCGCTTCAAACGCCATCACGTTATCCACTCGACCAATGAGTCCTCATAGTCACTTGCTTGTGCAATCGGTTCGAGTTGAAATTCACTTGATATTGTTTCCTTGAATGTTCCCATTGATGTTTAGGACTGCAACTGGTCAGTCTCTTATTGGCATATGTGCGTATTGCCTCGATATAGCCTAAATTCACAAGCATTGTAAGCAAAGATGGATTTAGTTGGTTTAGTTAAATTTTCCTTTAACTAGTTTAAATTTCAAATTAGAAAGTTACTAATTTGTTGTAATATAAGACATTTTTAGAGAAAAAAAACTTGTTGTTGTCATGTATACATGTGTGTATATTGTATAAAGTTAGTTTTAAAAAGGAAACTGAATATAAAGAATAAAAATTATTTACAAAATAGTTTATATAGGACATTTGAACTTAACAGTTTGATGTTAAGTGTTTGCAAACTTTCTGTTTCCTCTCTGTCCCTTTTCTTTTTAAGTTTCTATCTATCTATCTATCTATATGATATTAGTAACTGCAGGCGATAATATTAAATATGTAATTTCTTATACCTTAATTGTTTTGAATGTTTCAGTAACTCTTTTTTTCTAATGATGGAATTCAATGTATCTAAAAAAATAGAAGGTAATCAAGAAATGTGATAGTGAATAACTTCTTATGAAAAATAGCTTTGTAAGGATTTAACATTTGATGATAATCTTCTTAATTGTGATAGATTCCATTAGATGAAGACATTTGATCAATTATGATGACTTAATCTCTGTAGAGTCTATATAAGAAGTTAACCAGTTCAGAAGTCCTTCTGTAGTACTTCTTTTCAGTCATAATCACTTCATTATGTTTTCTTTGTGCGATATCTGGGAGTCAAAATTACTTTATTTTATCATATTCAAAATATCTTCAAGTATAAATAACTTACTGGACTTGTTTCTTTCTACCTGGTGCAATAACGTGATACAGTTTTTCAATACTGATTATAAAAAAATATTTTAAATTAAATTCTGACTGATTGGCTCAATTCAAAATGTTGGCCACTGTAAACTAAAAAGTTTTACACTTTTCCCATATAGGATAATGATGATGTATTGGTGAGAAGTCCTAGGTTGGGATGAAAAACAAAAAGTATCTTGATTTTTAATACTTTATTGGTTAACGTGAAAGAAATCACTTTTAAAATAGAATTATTGTTACAGTTAAAGGTTTTTAATATTCATAATCTAGTTGATAGTTAAATAGGACATGTAAATTAATATATCGCTAAAGTATCATTTTTTTCCTACCAGGACAAATACAATTATCTAGAGCAGTTATTCCGAACAAAGATTACGCAATACAAATTTAATTAATTTTTTTACCAAAGCATACTTACCTTGTTGGAGCTTAATCGTAAGATTCGGGTTGTACAAAGTTGTTATTAGGGACTTACAATTAAATTGAGGTTAAAGAAAATATATAAACGCATAGTTTATATATTACAGTTCCCTGATTTACGCTAGGAAGTATGAATTATACAACTAAATAAAGCATTTATTACAACCATTTTCATCCATATACATGATATCATCATTTCTAAGATTAAACCTCACCTCAGTAATTCGTTAGACCAAAGAAATCAATCCCAAACATGCTCTGGCTAATTGTGTTACTAATAAAATTGAATATTAATTAAAACATGGATAGATAGAGTTATATACAACAGAGTGTCTTTCTTTAATATTACACTCCATCAATGCGTAGAATAACTTAGTTATTTAAGTTGACTGTTGATAATTACAGATAAATTCTATTCAATATTTCTGTCCAAATAGCGAATGAATTTCCAACGAAATCAAAAATCTAAGAGGTTAAATGAATCAATAAATCAGTATAGTTCCAGACCTTTTATAAGTAAAATTATTGTTTCAATCAACTGGGATTAAACAAAACTGGTGTAAATAATGTTACAGTGTTTGTAGGGATAAAATTTTGTTTCTCTTCACCTTATACTAAAATTTATTGTTATTGATGAAAAAATTTATTATCAGAAGGGGTTTTTTGTGGAAATTTTAGTAATTTTATATAGTGAGAAGCAGTAACCAGTAGAGTTCAACCACGTCTCTTATCAGATAGTAACTCAGTGAAGACATTGGTGAATGGTTGCTCAAACTTCGTGGATTGGTTGAAGTTAGACATTAACACCGCTGGATGGAGGCCGGCTCAGTGGTCTATCGATTAAGTGCTCGCATGCGAGACTGATAGGTCCTGGGTTGGAATCTCGTGAGGCGGGATCGTGGATGCACACTGCTGGGGAGTCCCACAATACGATGAGCTGGCCGTCCAGTGTTTCCAGGTTTTCCATGGTAGTCTAGCTTCAATTGACTCATGATCTCAACTATATAAGAAACAATTTATTTGTAGAATTAAGACTGTTTCATCTATTAATTGTTTATATAACCATAAAATAAAAAAAAGATTGTTTCAGTTAAGAATTTTGTTTTCGGTAAACCACAAACAGGCGATAATAAAAAACTGCTTATTATTACTTGTCATTAAATGAATAAATGAGAATTTAAAATTCACTTATATTTTACAGCTTAATTAAACAAAACACTCTTCTTCAGTAATACATTCGTTTAGAAAATCAGTAATGAAAACAGGATTAAATGGAATCCGAAAGTGTAAAAACATAACTTAGTAATATAAGATGAACAATTGAGTTAATCATTAATCTATCTATTATACAGAATGTTGATATTAAAATTGACTTTGTATAAGTACTGAGATTTACCTTAAACTTTAACTCAGAAATAACATGTGTTATGTAAGATTCAAAAGACATTTACAATTTTCTCGATATACTACTGACAGGTAGAAGTAGTTGGACACCGTCATTATCACCATTTGACAGATTTAATCAGTTACCTTGAAGTTATCTCAGTAGTTGACAGCCATTTCGCCTACTCAAGAACTAGATGATCCAATTAATCTGTCTCATCAAAGATAGAGGAATTTACGATTGCATTTTAGCTATTAATTCTTGTCACTTTGAATCTTACAAACACATTTCGTACTTTCCGTTTTTATCTCTGTTAAGGCCACTCTCCTCTACCGACTTGTTGGTATTTGATGGTTTTTTGCAATCCCACTTTTTAAACACATGTAAAATATGTTTATATGAGATAACTGTAGGTATAATCAGTTTTCTTTGTTGAATCGAATGGGTCTAGTTAAAACTTGAGTTCTCCCTCTGGATTTGTTAAAGATAGACGAAATTATCTCCCTCATTGTTTGCGATGGTAAATCCAAAGAACATCCACATTATTTACCAAACTACGATAGCTTGGTTGATTATTTCGTTTGATTTGATGAGGGTGCTAGATATTTACTTGTAGAAAAACGTTATGATTATAATGGAAACATAACTTACACCTGTCAGTGATTTTTCAACAAATATTAACCTAAAGATAATTCATGTTATAATGATAACTAATACCATAATCCTATCTACAGTGTTAAATTTTATTTATAAATAAGTACAAATATTCATAAATGTGAGAGATATTCTACCATAAAAAGAATGTGTTAACTGTTGTCTTACTGATGGATTTTGATAATAAGTCAATCACTATGTTCGAGATGACAAGTATGATTAATTAATAAACACTAATTAACATTGAATATAGAGCTAAGCTTTAATGTAGATTACTTTTAAGTGTTTAATTCTAATATCGTTAGTTTTAAGACTATTTATTAGATTATAATCAGAAGGGGTTTTGTGGAGATTTCAGTATTTTCATAGTTGAAATCATCAGTCAATTGAAGCTAGACCACCATGGAAAACCTGGAAGCACTGCTTGACGGCCGTTTCGTTCTATTGTGGAACTCCTCAGCAGTGTGCATCCACGATCCCGCCTCACGAGATTCCAACCACGGACATACCAGTAAACATTTTACTTATAGGAATCCTGAAGTTATCATTATGAAAGTTTTTCGAGGTTGACAGTATTTTTCCCTTTTGGATACTCATACAAATTAGGCTATTTAGTAAGCTTTAATCTGATGAAATAGAAAAGATCGATTAAATAAACGTTATGAAAACAATTTAATCAATTATCAATAGTACTGGCCAATTTTCTAATCATTTTACTAAAATGGGTTGACTGTTAATATCCTACTATAGTATGAATTTGAAGTTGTTAAACATAACACTATTCATTTCGTAAACTATTTTAACCTTTAACATTTCGGATAATTTGATAATTTCCTTATTGTTTAAATGATACAAAAGAAAAGTAGTTATCATTATCTTTCTTATTATTTTTATAGAAATTTCGGTCCAAAATGTTCAGCTTGTCACAAACTTATTCGGAATGGTGAACTTGTTCGATTTGCTCGTCATTATGTATATCATATTAACTGTTTTCAATGTACAATTTGTAAGAAACAATTCACTACAGGTGATCAGTACTATCTTTTATATAGTGACAAGTTTTTAATATGTCGTGAACACTATTATGAAAGTGGTAGTTCATTGATACCACAAATATCAACAACAAGAACTTCAACAGAAATGGATTTATTATCAATTCTTACAAATTCTAATTCGTCCATCAAAGATGTTATGAAAACAGAAAGAATATCAGAATCCCCTAGTACATTGTCTAATTCTGTCAACTGTGAGTTATTAGTTAATAATGGGAATTGTATACAAAACATTTATGACTGTGAAACAAATACAAATATGAAAAATCAGTTAGAACAGTTGAAAGTTTTCAGTCAAGATGATATTTCAGATTCACTAAATCAGCTGAATTCATCTATATCCGAGGCATCTATGTTTTCATCCACTCAATCTTCGTCTTCAATACCATCACTACTGGTACTATGTTCCACTCCGTCTTCCACTTCAACAGCAGCAACAACAACTCCGCCAGTAACTGCAGTGAATATTGTTTCCAGTTCAATAATGAATACAATAACCGCTTTCAGTAAGTACCAAATTTTCATTTAGATTTCATTTTTTTACTAGTATACCCTAATCATGTTGACAGATGTAACTTGGATCTAATGTGTCAGTTAAAATGAGTAGACTTTCCGGCGAATAAAAGCTATTCTATATTGTACAACTACATAATATTATTTGAATTTTATATTATGGCCTAGCCTTAGCTAAATGAACATAAGGAACTAGAAAACACGGGGTAGTTGTTCTTGTTCTCCTCAGCGGTATACATATATGACCTCATCAGAGATCAGGACGAGGGTATTTGAACCTTTCAGTGGATTATTAACTTCCAGAATATAAAATTGACATATAGTGTTTTACATTTCTAACACCAGTCAACTCATGATATTTCGTCATTGTCGTCTATAGGCACCGATAATACCTATTTCACAACCGACATAGTTGAACTCCGCTGGTTACTGCTTCTCACTAGAACTACAAAAGCTCCCTCATCAAGTTAGTTACTAGAAAACATATAACCCCTGTAAGTGCAGGAAGTGTGTAGAGATTTTTTGATTTGTAGTTTACATAATGGATCTGAGACAGGTATCAACTATAGGAATGGGTGGTGGTAACGAAATACCATGAAATGATTGGTGCTAAAAATGCAAAGCATTGGATTCCAACTCGTGTTTTGGAAGCTGATGATTTCCCAAGATGCTCAGATTCTCTGGTTTTGATCCCTGATGAGATCGTAGATATGCACTACTGAGCAGGACGAAACAATGATTTAATACTTTCTAGTTCTTGATGTTTGCCAAACCAAAATCAAACCATACTGTAAGCTGTAAATAGAGCAATTTCAACAAACCACTCGTGCTAAAATAATAATGTTTCTGATATCAGTCAGAGAATTTAGTTCAGGAATATATGAATTTCATACAAACTTGATGGTTTAAACAATGCTTCCCAGCATCGAATAAGAATTCTATGGGAAGTTCTATTTGATTAACAGTTATTTTAATATTTCTCAATCTAGCAAATTCTACTCAACTTATTTAACACAATACCAGATAAAGGATCTACTTGGGCCATAGGTCTTCTGAAGCATTTCGGAAAATAAAATCAATTTTTTGTATTCAAATGTCTGTCAAGGGCTATCAATCTGACTAGCTGATCAACTGATAACAGTGAGGTGATACTACACAAGTTAGGTAGTTTATCGAATAAATGTTTCTCAATCTTCTCAAATACCAGGTTTCCGTACAAATCTTTTTTTTGAAAATAGGATTTAAGCTTTTAATCTAGCAATCAACTTGATAAAATATCGTTTGTTGAGATTGATGATTATTCACATTGAAAAGAACACCAGTACTCTGAGATATAGGTAATTTCAACTGTCGAATCCCAGATAGAACGAATGTGACTCGTCAGTTTTTATATATATATATATATATATATATATATATATATATATAGTTGAAATCATTAGTCAATTGAAGCTAGACCACCATGGAAAACCTGGAAGCACTGCTTGACGGCCGTTTCGTTCTATTGTGGGACTCCTCAGTTTCAATCTGTGGGATACAGGTTCGAGAAACCATCAACTTCTTACAAGGATTTTAAAAGATGTATAGCAACAGATGCTTTCATATGCTTTGTCATGTTTTATAGTGCAAGAAATTGATATGATAGTGGTCAGTGAGTCATATTATTTTTACTTATAATCAAACAATTACATAACATGAACTTTCTATCATTTAACAAGACAACATATTCAGTTTATCTGTCATTAAAACTTCTTTTCATATAAGTACCATAACAACAACAACTGAAAAAAACAATAGAAATCATCATATACTCTTTAACTTGTCATTATTGCATCATTCCTCAATGGAAAATTAGTTACTTAGTTCCTAACATGAATATATTTAATAAGAGATATAAATGTTGAAAGATACTTTATATATATAAAGCTATTGTTTACTATACCATTGGACTGAAATGTGAGTCCAAGTGTATATATATATATGAAAAGATGAACAAATTTACATACATAGAATAAATTTGACTTCAAAATCAACTCATCAATGAATTGAACATGTCTAAATTTCAGTTGAAAAATAAATTTTGGACATCATCATTATGTAAAAGAAAGAAAGAAAGGTGAAAAAACAAGAAGGTTTATAATGACTAAAATGTAAATTAGATACTACAGTATTCATAGAATTTATGAATGAATGAATTAAAAAGTATTTTTACAATTAGTTAAAATGTTAAATATAGAGTAAAATTGAATGGGTCATTACTATTAGTGTTGTTTTATGATTCTTTACATTATATGCTAGTACTAGTCATTTATTCAATGGAAATGAAGTAGTATTATGTGATTGTTTAGTTTTGCTCCGACTTTTAAATTACAAAGACAATACTTATTGATGTTAAGTGATTGAAGATAGTCGATAGGGAACTTTAGAATGTAGGTTTCATTTTGATTGACGCTCATCATCAACGTGTGCGTAAATTTTTAATGTGACTAATGCTCATTTCAATATTTAGAGCCGCATCACTAGGTTTCACTGTTTGAGATGTTATTCTTGAGTTATTTGGACAGCGATTGATTTCCTGTAGAAGTGAGGTATTCATAAATATTTGATCATTTAAGTAGTGACCAATATTAATGATTAATCAGTGTATAAAATTCATTATTCTACAGAAACTATAGCTATTACTGAGTTATGTCTTTTAAAATCAATATGAGAACCATTAAACCCCAAGAAAACCATATGACTCTTTGAACTGTTAGTTCTGATCACAATAGTTATGCTTGATCTTAGTCAAAATGTAACATAATTTATTATTTACTATTATATGTATCAAGAATATTAAGTTAACTTTAAATAAATTGAGACTATTTACTACTGCTTAAGATAACTCTTATCAGATTGATAATTCACAAAAGTTCCATTCCATGCAAACTTATGATATATTTTTAAATTCTGTCTAACTAGGCTTCATAACTTCGAAATGAATGAGTTTTTTTTATATTATTCTTTGATTTTAAATAGTTGTTCGAATAATTTCAAATTATGATGAACATCGCATTCAAAATTAATGAAATTTACTAATTGAATTCATAAGTCAATTGAATCTAGGCCGCCATGGAAAACCCAGAAGCGCTGGATGACCATCTCATCCTAGTGTGGGGCCCCTCAGCAGTGCACATACACGATCCCGCCCCGCGGGATTCGAACCCAAAACCTGTTGGCCTTGTTAGTCATCGTTGGATGCCGGCTCGGTGGTCCAGAGGTTAAGCGTTCGCGCACAAGACCGATAGGTCCTGGGTTCGAGTCTCAGGGGGCGGGATAGTGGATGCGCACAGCCAGGGAGTCTCACACTAGGACGAAATGGCCATCTAGTGCTTCAAGGTTTTCCATGGTGGTCTAGATTCAATTAACTCATTAATTCAACTATAAAATTACCAAAATCTCCAGAAAACTCCCTTCTGAAAATTACTAACTAAATTTAATCTTCGATTGTAATTATTTGTTATTGATATACTATCAAAGTGAATCCAATCTTTATAAAAAAAGTTGTTCTTTAGAATATTTCAGCCTATCATAATATATACTTGGTGAGAATGTCTAAAAGTCTCCACATATTTTAATAGAGATTACATGGCGAAGTTTATTCAGGATAACTATTAAATAGATATCAAAACTTATCCCTATGTGAGAAAAGTCAAGTTAACATGTTTTATGTCCAATGTGATTCATTATATTCTGTCATTTTTCTATTCTTTAGCCTAAATATTTCTTTAGATTCAACTAAGTTTGAGAAACAATAAAACAATTGTTCGGTGAACTTCACTGAACAATATCGTCTTCAGTGGAGTAAAAACAAGACTAATTTTGTCATGAATATATCTTGCTATTTTAGGCAACACTTCTTGTTAGACTGACTGAACAAATAATATTATTACTGAACATTTAATGGTTGTCTTTCTAAACTTTACTTTAGCAAAGTAAACACATTATTGAACAAAGTATACACAAACGTTGAGTCTTCCTATGATACATTATGTTTATCACGAGTTAGTGAATGAATCGAAATATTAAGTGGTTGATTATTAGTTACACCATCATGTGATCTATTTTAGGTGACTGAAGAAAAATGTAAATCATTGAATTTACAAATGATCAACAGAAGTTACAGTGAACTGAAATGGGACCATTTTAAAATATACAATAAATGATTCTTTGAATTTATGTTAACCATATTTTAGTAAACTACTTAAATGCAAAAAATAATTTAAGCTTATATCATTAATTTACAATCTTATTCATTAGATTGATAATTCTAGGATTTCCTTTATTGAATTGGTTGAGGTTAGACATTAACACCATCGGATGCCGGCTCAGTGGTCCATCGAATAAGTGCTCTGGCGCGAAACTGTTGGATCCTGCGTTCTAATCTCGCGAGGCGAGATCGTGGATGCGCTCTGCTGAGGATTCCCACGATAGGACGAAACGGCCGTCCAGTGCTTCCAAGTTTTCTTTGGTGGTCTAGCTTCACCTATGAAGATTTCCTTTATTGTTATTTTGCATAAAAAGATTGGTCAGATAACTTTAAACGATACTTAATCTACAAACGAACGTTTCACGATTTAAGAAATTATCGAACCTTTCTTAACCTAAAATCTGTCTAACATATTTAAAGCTTACGCTTTTGTTATAGTATTATAAAATGTATAACTAGTGGTTCTTATAAAAGGTTGTAGTATATCGTAAAATGTATTTTATCAAAATTCTTGACATTAAAATTCACTAAAAAAAGACAAAAAGATATTATCATCTGTAACTGATGTTGTGTATGGTTACTTTTGGTGAAATAAAATGCTACGATTTTTCTATGAAGAAGAAATGAATTATGTATTTATATGTTAGCGAAGAAATCATCGTTTTGAGAGGTTCACCTCTAGCTACTTTTGTGTGTTTGAGAGTTAATTAGACTACCTGGTTGCCCTAATTGAAGTAGGTCAAG